TCTTTTCACCTTGCTTATAGTTTCCTTTGTTGTGCAAAAGCTTTTAAGTTTCATTAGGTCCCATTTGTTTATTTTTGCTTTTATTTCTAAAATTCTGGGATGTGGGTCATAGAGGATCCTGCTGTGATTTATGTAGGAGAGTGTTTTGCCTATGTTCTCCTCTAGGAGTTTTATAGTTTCTGGTCTTACATTTAGATCTTTAATCCATCTTGAGTTTATTTTTGTGTATGGTGTTAGAAAGTGTTCTAGTTTCATTCTTTTACAGGTGGTTGACCAGTTTTCCCAGCACCACTTGTTAAAGAGGTTGTCTTTTTTCCATTGTATATCCTTGCCTCCTTTGTCAAAGATAAGGTGACCATAGGTTCGTGGATTTATCTCTGGGCTTTCTATTCTGTTCCACTGATCTATATTTCTGTCTTTGTGCCAGTACCATACTGTCTTGATGACTGTGGCTTTGTAGTATAGTCTGAAGTCAGGCAGATTGATTCCTCCAGTTCCAGTCTTCTTTCTCAGGATTACTTTGGCTATTCGAGGTTTTTTGTATTTCCATACAAATTGTGAAATTATTCGTTCTAGTTCTGTGAAAAATATCGTTGGTAGTTTGATAGGGATTGCATTGAATCTGTAGATCGCTTTGGGTAGTATAGCCATTTTGACAATATTGATTCTTCCAATCCATGAACACGGTATATTTCTCCATCTGTTTGTGTCCTCTTTGATTTCTTTCATCAGTGTTTTATAGTTTTCTATGTATAGGTCTTTTGTTTCTTTAGGTAGATATACTCCTAAGTATTTTATTCTTTTTGTTGCAATGGTGAATGGTATTGTTTCCTTAATTTCTCTTTCTGTTAAAGCAACTAGAGGAGGAAGAAATGAAGAACCCCAGGGTTAGTAGAAGGAAAGAAATCTTAAAAATCAGGGCAGAAATAAATGCAAAAGAAACTAAAGAGATCATAGTAAAAATTAACAAAGCTAAAAGCTGGTTTTTTGAAAAAATAAACAAAATTGACAAACCATTAGCAAGACTCATTAAGAAACAAAGGGAGAAGAACCAAATTAACAAAATTAGAAACGAAAATGGAGAGATCACAACAGACAACACTGAAATACAAAGGATCATAAGAGACTACTACCAGCAGCTCTATGCCAATAAAATGGACAACTTGGAAGAAATGGACAAGTTCTTAGAGAAATATAACTTTCCAAAACTGAACCAGGAAGAAATAGAAGATCTTAACAGACCCATCACAAGCAAGGAAATCGAAACTGTAATCAGAAACCTTCCAGCAAACAAAAGCCCAGGACCAGATGGCTTCACAGCTGAATTCTACCAAAAATTTAGAGAAGAGCTAACACCTGTCTTACTCAAACTCTTCCAGAAAATTGCAGAAGAAGGTAAACTTCCAAACTCATTCTATGAGGCCACCATCACCCTAATTCCAAAACCAGACAAAGATGCCACAAAAAAAGAAAACTACAGGCCAATATCACTGATGAACATAGATGCAAAAATCCTTAACAAAATTCTAGCAAACAGAATCCAACAACATATTAAAAAAATCATACATCATGACCAAGTGGGCTTTATCCCAGGAATGCAAGGATTCTTTAATATCCGCAAATCAATCAATGTAATACACCACATTAACAAATTGAAAGATAAAAACCATATGATTATCTCAATAGATGCAGAAAAAGCCTTTGATAAAATTCAACATCCATTTATGATTAAAACTCTCCAGAAAGCAGGAATAGAAGGAACATACCTCAACATAATAAAAGCTATATATGACAAACCCACAGCAAGCATCACCCTCAATGGTGAAAAACTGAAAGCATTTCCCCTGAAATCAGGAACAAGACAAGGGTGCCCACTCTCACCACTACTATTCAACATAGTTTTGGAAGTGTTGGCCACAGCAATCAGAGCAGAAAAAGAAGTAAAAGGAATCCAGATAGGAAAAGAAGAAGTGAAACTCTCTCTGTTTGCAGATGACATGATCCTCTACATAGAAAATCCTAAAGACTCTACCAGAAAATTACTAGAGATAATCAACGAATACAGTAAAGTTGCAGGATATAAAATTAACACACAGAAATCTCTTGCATTCCTATACACTAACAATGAGAAAACAGAAAGAGAAATTAAGGAAACAATAGCATGTACTCTCTAGCCCCAAATTACTCACAGGTTATATCCCCAAAGTTCAATTTTGAGTTAATCTGGTCTTTAATGTCACAGGGTAATTTTGTAATAGTAGTAACAGAGTAATGATATAGACTCTCTATCAAGGGATTAGATCTGACAGAGTGCCTGAAGAACTATGGACAGAGGTTTGTGACATTGTACAGGAAGCAGTAATCAAAACCATCCCCAAGAAAAAGAAATGCAAAAAGGCAAAATGGCTGAGGAGGCCTTACAAATAACTGAGAAAGTAAGAGAAACCAAAGGCAAAGGAGAAAAGGAACCGTTTGAATGCAGAGTTCCAAAAAATAGCAAGGAGAGATTAGAAAGCGTTCCTCAGTGATCAGTGCAGAGAAATAGAAGAAAACAATAGAATGGGAAAGATTAGAAGTCTCTTTAAGAAAATTAGTGATACCAAGGGAACATTTCATGCAAAGATGGGCACAATAAAGACAGAAATGGTATGGACCTAACAGAAGCAGAAGATATTAAGAAGAGATGGCGAGAATACACAGAAGAACTATACAAAAAAGATCTTCATGACCCAGATAATCACGATGGTGTGATCACTCATCTAGAGCCAGACATCCTGGAATGCAAAGTCAAGTGAACCTTAGGAAGCATCACTACAAACAAAGCTAATGGAGGTGATGGAATTCCAGTTGAGCTATTTCAAATCCCAAAAGATGATGCTGTGAAAGTGCCACACTCATTATGGCAGCAAATTTGGAAAACTCAGCAGTGGCCACAGGACTGGAAAAGGTCAGTTTCATTCCCATCCCAAAGAAAGGCAATGCCAAAGAATGTGCAAACTACCTCACAATTGTACCCATCTCACATGCTAGCAAAGTACTGCTCAAAGTTCTCCAAGCCAGGTTTCAACAGTATGTGAACTGTGAACTTCCAAATGTTCAAGCTGGATTGAGAAAAGGCAGAGGAACTAGAGATCAATTGCCAACATCTGTTGGATCATTGAAAAAGCAAGAGAGTTCCAGAAAAACATCTACTTCTGCTTTATTGACTACACCAAAGCCTTTGACTGCATAGATCACAACAAACTGTGGAAAAATCCTTAAAGAGATGGGAATACCAGACCACCTGATCTGCCTCCTGAGAAGTCTGTATGCAGGTCAAGAGGCAACAGTTAGAATTGGAACAACAGTCTGGTTCCAAATAGGGAAAGGAATACATCAAGGTTGTATATTGTCACCCTCTTTATTTAACTTACATGCAGAGTATAGCATGCAAAATGCCGGGCTGGATGAAGCACAAGCTGGAATCAAGATTGCTGGGAGAAATATTAATAACCTCAGATACACAGAAGACACCATCCTTATGGCAGAAAGTGAAGAACTAAAGATCCTCTTGAAAGTGAAAGAGAGTGAGAAAGTTGACTTAAAACTCAACATTCAGAAAACTAAGATCATGGTATCTGGTCCCATCACTTCATGGCAAATAGATGGGGAAACAGTGGAAACAGTGACAGACTTTATTTTTTGGGGCTCCAAAATCACTGCAGATGGTGACTGCAGCCATGAAATTAAAAGATGCTTGCTCCTTGGAAGAAAAGCTATGACCAACCTAGACAGCATATTAAAAAGCAGAGACATTACTTTGCCAACAAAGTTCTGTTTAGTCAAGGCTAAGGATTTTTCAGTAGTTATGTATGGATCTGAGAGTTGGATGATGAAGAAAGCTGAGCACCAAAGAATTGATGCTTTTGAACTGTGGTGTTGGAGAAGACTCTTGAGAGTCCCTTGGACTGCAAGGTGATCCTAAAGGAGATCAGTCCTGGGTGTTCATTGGAAGGACTGATGTTGAAGCTGAAACTCCAATCCTTTGGCCACCTGATGTGAAGAACTGACTCATTTGAAATGACCCTGATGCTGGGAAAGATTGAAGGTGGGAGGAGAAAGGGACAACAGAGGATGAGATGGTTGGATGGCATCACTGACTCGATGGACATGAGTTTGAGCAAGCTCCGGGAGTTGGTGATGGACAGGGAAGCCTGGCGTGCTGCTGTCCCAAGGTCGCAAAGAGTCAGGCACGACTGAGCAACTGAACTGAAGTGAATGATATAGATAAGTGGTTTTCAACCAGGGGCATTTTTGCCCTCCCCCCAGCCCCGAGCATATTTGGCAGTGATTTGGAGACATTTTTGGTTCTAACAATTTAGTGGTATTAGATGCGGAGTTATTAACCTATAGTGGGTTAAAGCTAAGGATGTTGCTAAACATACTATAATGTACTATAATGCACAGGATAGCTCTCCTCCCACTGCCTTCAAACCCAACAAGGTATTATCTGGCCCAGAATGTCAGTAGTGCTGGTGTGGAGAAACCCTGTTTAGACAATTGTCGAATTTCCAGGACACTCTGAAAAAGCTTTCTTTAACCCTGCACAGTGCTTATAATCCATAACTGAAGCTTAGTACTAAGAGTGCCATTTCATTTGTCATTTAAGGTCACTTTGTCTGTATGGTAAAGCTTTTAAATTTCAACTTGAGATTCTGAGCAGAAGATGGCTTTCCTTTTTGGAAATAAAGGGTAGTTACTCCCATGATGTGGAGACTTGATTTCACATGCCTGTTTTTCCTAGTATTTTTGTGTCACTGTTCTGAGAGTCTGTAGGATGGGAATTACCTATCATTTCAGTATTGTGTTTAGAAGATAGTTTTATACACTTTAAAATGTGAAAATGTTTAATCAGTATGTAAATTTATTCAACAAGTATTCATTTAGAAATAAGTATTAATAAAATGAGTATTCAGATTTTTAAGTACCTGTAACTTAATGCATTTTGATTTTATTAATAGGGTCAGGAGCAGGTCTGGGAAAAATAATCCAGAGATTTCCACAGAAGGACTGGGATGATACACCTTTTCCACAAGGAATTGAATTGGTAAGTTGATGTTGTAATACTGTACTTTTATAATGATACTTTTCTTGTTTTATTTATGGTTATATTTATGTTGCAGTTACTTTTAAATTATTTGGTGATTTAACTGTAACACATTATTAAAAATAATCTCCCCAGTACAGAAACCTTTGACTTACATTGGTTCTGGAATACCTGTTTTGCTGTTCTTCCCATTTAAATTTCTCTTTAATATTAAAGATGAAATAGATGATCTTTATGTGCCTGGAAGCTGAAAAATTCCTCTGATTCTTAAAATGTTAGCCTAGTATCTTCAGTGATAGTGTGTGTCACTAATCAAATATTTATTGTATTTTTTTTCCTGAAAATTTCAAGGTTGTTGTTTTAGTGAAAACTAAATAAAAACATAGATAAACAAAACCAAAGGTTGGTTTAATAGAGATCAGTCATGGTTTGAATTTGGTCTTGAAGTCACAATCTGAATTCTTTCTTTCTAGTTACAGGATTTGTATGTTGTTTTGTAGTAGTGCAATTAACTGCCTTATTTTTGTCAATCATTTTAAAGCAATTTATGATTGAGCATAATTTATATGACTAACACATTCTGGTGGTGGATCTGTCGTGGCAAAATCAGAGACTGAAAAGATTGTCACTAAACTATTTTTGAAATATGACTATAAAGTTCAGAGAGTGTGTATATATGTGTTTGTATATATGTGTGTGTGTTCATCTATATTGTATGTATATTTACACATACAAGCAGTATTCATCAAAGCAGTTGTTTTGAGTGAACATCTGGTGTAATATGATGATGAAGAGAAGACTGCTTGGGTTGAAAATCCCAGCTAAATGGTGTGCTTTCTAGCAAGTTACTTAATTTCTTGAGCAACAAGAGTCTTCATCTATAAAATGAGGACGCGGATAATGCTAATCTCATAGGGTTATGTAAAAATAAAATGAGAAAAATACAAATAAAGTGCTTAGAACAGTGTCTTCCATAAAGTTCTCAGTAAATAAGGTAGCTTGTTAATGTTATTATTGTTGTCATTGGTGCTCTGTGTTTGACATATTGCAGCTCCTACCTGAGAGGAAGAACTGTTCAGTCTTTTATTAGCCTGTATCAGAAATATTTTATTAGTAATAAAACTGATGTTGAAAATTATGATTTTCCTTATCCTAGCAAATGACTGTCCATTTCTGCCTCCCTGAGGATAGAAGATATATTGCTAAATGCTTAATTTTGATTGTTAAACCCAGCTGTGTAAAGAAGGCTGTGAGTTCTGTAGATTCACAGAGGGGGTAAATCTTGAGTTTAGGCATTAAAAAGGGGGGAAGAGTATGAGAATCTGTGAGGTAATAGACAATACATTGGAAAAGTCCCTGATGCTGGGAAAGATTGAGCACATGAGGAGAAGGGGACGACAGCGGATGAGATGGTTGGATGGCATCACCGACTCAATGGATGTGAGTGAGCAAACTCCAAGAGAGAGTGAAGGACAGGGAAGCCTGGTGGACTGCAGTCCATGAGGTTGCAAAGAGTTGGACATGACTGAGCGACTGAACAACAAAGTGGTCTCTGCCTCTAGTTCCTGGCACAGAGCTTCTGAAACCCTTGTAATTTCCTAAGTCAAAAAATACTAGAGACATCTTTTGTTCTAATATTTGGTCTTTGATCCTGGTTCCTGCCACAGGGTTCCTGAAACCTTTGTAACTTCCTGGGTGGGAGGAGTGTTTTGTTCTGATGAGGTGACTCTTGGGGGACTCCTGGATGGTTCCTGGATGAGGAGAAGGTCCAAGCCATGATTAGAGGCTTGGAACTTTCAGCCTTTATCTGCTATTCTCTGACAGTTTAGTTAATGATTGATCATGCCTCCGTGATGAAGCCACCATAAAAATCCCGAAAGTATGGGATTCAGAGAACTTCCAGGTTGTTCAAACGTCCACCTACTGGGAAAGTGATGCACCCCAGCTGCACAGAGAGAGAAGCTCCTGTGCTTGGGACCTTCCCAGGCTTCCCTCTGTGTATCTCTTCATCTGTTGTTTATCTGTATTCCTTATCATATTCTTTAATAAACTGATTGTAAGTAAAATGTTTTTTAAGTGAGCCACTTGAGCAAATTAATTGAATCCAAAGAGGTTGAAGTCATGGGAACCTCCGATTTGTAGCCAAGTCATACAGAAGTTGTAGGTAACCTGGGGACCTACTTGCAGTTGGCATCTCAGGTTGCGGGGGGAGGGGTGTTGGTCTCATGGCACTGAGCCCTCAACCTTAATCAGTCAGTTAAATTGTAGGACACCCAGCAGATGTTGTGATAATTGCTTGTTTTGGGGAAAAAAATCCCACACATTGGGTGACTGAGAGTATCAGAAATGAAGTATTCTGGGTAAGATAAACATTACCACATGGAGGAGAAAAGTAGGTTTTTAAAGAGCCCCCTTGTATTCCTTTTTCTTCTCTTCCACATCTCTGCAAATACTAGTAATTGGTCTTACAGTGTGGATAACTGGCATTTGTACTATTAAAGCTTTTAAACTGTTTCACTGTCCTTTTTAGTAATGATTGAAAGGGGAACATTTTGGTACTCGAGGTCTTTTAGAACTTTTGTATGTTCCTACCTCTCCTCACATAAATGTGCAGATGGATATAAATTACATCAGTTTGACAATATGAACAGTGAACCACCTTCATAAATTTCAAGGACAACAGATGTTATTGGGTTAGAGAGAGACCGTTATTTGACTGTAGTTTATTTAGCTATGACTGAGAAGGGATACTTTTTGTATTTCAGAAGTTAAGGCATAGACACTGTGATGCCTCTGATGTCTCTCTAATAGTGATGGAGAGACATGTTGATTTTCAGTTCAGTTGAGTTCAATCACTCAGTCGTGTCTGACTCTTTGCAACCCCCTGGGCTGCAGCAGGCCAGGTCTCCCTGTCCATCACCAACTCCTGGAGTTTACTCAAACTCATGTCCATTGAGTCAGTGATGCCATCCAACCATCTCATCCTCTGTTGTCCCCTTCTCTTCCTGCCTTCAATCTTTCCCAGCATCAGGGTCTTTTCAAATGAGTCAGTTCCTCATGTCAAGGGGTCAAAATATTGTAGTTTTAGCTTTAGCATCAGTCCTTCTAATGACTATTCAGGACTGATTTCCTTTAGGATGAACTGGTTGGATCTCCTTGCAGTCCAAAGGACACTCAAGAGTTTTCTCCAGCATCACAGTTCAGAAGCATCAATTCTTCAGTGCTCAGCTTTCTTTATAGTCCAACTCTCACATCCATACATGACTACTGGAAAAACCATAGCTTTGACTAGACGGGCCTTTGTTGGCAATATCTGCTTTTTAATATGCTGTCTGGTTTGGTCATAACTTTTCTTCCAAGGAACAAGCTTGGTCCATACCATTTCTGTCTTTCATTGTGCCCATCTTTGCATGAAATGTTCCCTTCAATCTCTGATTTTCTTGAAGAGTTTCTAGTCTTTCCCATTCTATTGTTTTCCTCTATTTCTTTGCACTGATTACTGAGGAAGGCTTTCTTATCTCTCCTTGCTATTCTTTGGAACTCTGCATTTAAATGGGTATACCTTTCCTTTTCTCCTTTGCCTTTGGCTTCTCTTCTTTTCACAGCTATTTGTGACAACCATTTTGCCTTTTTACATTTCTTTTTCTTGGGGATGGTCTTGATCCCAACCTCCTGTACAATGTTATGAACTTCTGTCCATAGTTCTTTAGGCACTGTGTCTATCAGGTCTAATGTTGACTTTATTACTAAGTAAATGGATATTTTTTCTTTATGGGAAAGACAGTCCCATGTTCGGGTGCTGTCAGGGTCTCTCCAGTAACAAGTAGAATCTTACTGGATTGGTGAAACTGAGGTGTTAAGAAGTAGCATAACTTTTCCTCACCTAAGATTTTCCTAGATGAATATGTTGGGTGATTCTTCATGAAGCATTTCAGAATGTTTGGGACTAGATTAATATTTAAAGATTATTTATCTTGCTGGATTACATTGGGAACTTTCTCTTTCTTTAAAATTTTTTCATAATTGATAGCAATTCCCATATCCTAATGTCTGTTGTGCTTTGTCAGGTACAAAATAAATTTGTTTATATTATCTATCAAACCCATTTAAAAACATATAAAATTGTTAACTGTTACATTTTTGTTGTCTTACTATTTATGGCTGTCCATGGGGGTCACAAAAAGTTGGACACGACTTAGTGACTGAGCACACTCACAGACTATACCTTATATGTTAGAAATGTGCAACCATTCTGCGTATTAACAGCAATAACTTGAAAACTGATACACTGTGTAATCTAGAGCAACTCCTGCAGCTTTAAGACCTAATAAAATTTTAGTGTAATTGAAGATGATCTGGTTCAGTTTCTTTCTTTTTTTTTTTTTCCTGGTTCAGTTTCTAAGTGGTTTGTTGATTCCACGGTTGTAGTAACCCTTTTCTGATGATTTACATAAAAAGGCAAAATCTTAGCCTCTCTAAGATGGTGATAGTGAAGCACCTCTTTAGCATGTAACGTTAATGGTAATATCTAACAGTTGTATACGATTGACAGAATATGATGAATTGACAAATTAGATGATTAGAGATAGTATTAATATATCTAATTTACAGGTAGGTATATTGAGGATTAGGAAGTTTAAACAGTTTCGTTAAGGTCTAACAGCTGAGATGCAGCAGAACTAGGATTCAAACCCAGGTCTTTTAACTCTCAGTCTCAGGCAAATTTTTGAGAATATTCTGAGAGTGATACTTTAAGCTATGGTTAGCATTTAAATGCAGGATCTGAAAACAGGATTCTATAATTTGGTAGAACTGAGGTTCAGAAATCTTAACAGAATGCTGTGCTAAAACAATGCTGTGTTATTAGTAGCCAGTGTCATTTATTTATTTTATTTGAGGATAAACCTGGGTTCAGAACATATTATTATATTGAAATTATTTTCTGTTGTCATCTTTCCTGCCCAGGTATTTCATGTATTCAAATTCTAATTGAAAGGCAG